ATAGATATACCAGCCCTTTACCTGGCTAGTAATTCCTCTAATGATGGCAAATACTCAAATTTCTTCCAAAGATGTTTGTTAAACCATCCTTAAATTGATGTAACAAAGGATATATATTCTTTGCTAAACCACAAAAATAATAGTTCTTATTCGTGCTTCAATGATAGCCTCGTTTAAATACAACAGAGAGATTTTGGAACATAAATTTTTAATCTTCAAAAATTACACGATGTAGTGCTAGCCAATATATTCTCCAATATTTATGGTCAAGCTTCATTCTTGTTGAAAAAACCAATCAAGGGTCCTTCATATTTTATGAGATGATCTACACCTTATTATATGATCAAATAATTTATCGAAAATAGACCTCTTTAAGATGAACTTCACCTCAACTTCAGTATCCTTCCACTTCTTGATTGTGTTTCTATTCTCGATTCATTAGGAGGACTTGTGTTACACATTAACAATCTCTTACAAATCCTAGCTAACAAGATAGGATTCCATACATGTCTCCCATACATTATAGTTGGACGGGTTTAATAATTCTATCTCAGTCTATCAACATGATTACATGAGAAATGAGTAGAATCTACAACCACTGGCCCAATGTTGAAACAAAATTTTCAAAAGCCAACCTATGACTATGACTTTGATATCAGGTAAGGAGTAGGAGAGAGAATAAATTGGAGAGACCCAAGATCGATAACTAAGGTTGGATAATTCAACTAAAGAAGAGGAAGCTTTGAAAGAGAAGGCAGATTTTAGATATGAGAACTTGGTTACACTAGAAAACTTTCTTGCATTAGCTTGGTTATAAATGCACAACCCTTATTTATACTTATCTAGGGATGATTCTAGATATTGTTCTAGATATATCTAGAAGAAAAATCTAATTAACTTATCTTCTAGCCATACTCTAGAAGATCTAGATATTTCTTCAAGATACCTATCCAAGATATTACACTAGGCCATTCTAGAAACTTCATTGAAAATTCATCATATTCCAAAAAACCAACTTTAATTTTTTCACACTTGTCGTTGCCCACAACAGGGTAACGATCTTGTGAGGCCTACATCTAGCAACCTTTGAGCTCCGGTCATCATTGCGTAATTCCTATTTATGTAGCTTAACAATGGAAGTGCACGGATGGCCATCCCTAGTTAAGAAACAAAGTAATAGATGACAGTTTCATCCCCAATTAAAATCATTTTTTTATCATAAGCCCCCTACCCAAATCCACAACAATCTGACCGACGGAAAAAATCAACTGAGTTCCACAGTGTTAATAGAAATCAAAAGACAAAAACCTATGAGATTAATATTCATTCTACTAAAAATGCACGGAGACAACACTCAGACTACCTACTAACCTTCTTCTACCTAAATCGACTCTTCACTTTCAATGCTGCACCCTTATCAGATTCTCTAAAATTAGTTACTCGCGAACATTTTTGAAGAATCCGAACAACATAAACCTAAATCCTCAACCTCCAAACGTAATCAAATAACAGTAAACTCGCAAGATCTACAAAAGTAATCAAATAATCAAAAACTCAACCAAAAATTTTTAAAAAATACCTCAACTGTCCAAATGAAGAAATCAAGTGGTTCTGGTGGTTTTTCTTTGCTTATTATCATCTCTCACTATCAAAATACAACTAAAATTGAGTTCACCTAAACACATAAAAAAAATGAGATTATAATTTCATACAAAATAATTAACAACAAACACAAATCAATTACATACCTTGTAATAATAATCAAATTGTATTGATTTAGGGTTTTGAATTTTCTACATATTTTTTTGGTGGAGCTAAGAGAGAGGGAAAAAGGAAAAAATTCAGCTAAATTTTCTTTTCTTTTCTTTTATTGCTTTTTTTTTTACTATAAAGTTTTCATTGTAAATAATACTATATTGTTTCTCTTTTTTGTAACTAAGTGGGCCCTACATGGGCCCCATTTATTTGTTTTTATGTTATTTGCGGAATTATATGTTTGTGTCGCTCCCTTTTACTTCCACGCGATTTCTCTCTGAGGATGTAGCACGTGTATTCCTATCGGTTTAAAAAAAAAGTCTCCTTCACTTTTATTTATCCATTATAATAAAATAAAATAAGTAATAACAATATATTTAGTGAAATATCACAAAGTATGGTCTGAGAAAAGAAGAGTGCACGGTGATTTTATTATTATTTCGTGGAGGTACAGAAATTATTTCTGAAAGATCCTCGACTCAAGTGTGTATTTTTTTTTTTTTAGAATATTAAAAAATGTAGTGTTTTATATTTAATAATTGTTTATTTTCTAAGATTTTTAAAAATGTTGATAATTATGGATATTATGATAAAATATACGCATAACATATTATATTATATTTATTATTTTTTAAAGGAGTAAAAAAGGTTATTGTGGATAAGTAAAAGTGATTAGATAACCAATATGGGTTGTGTTGCATTGGTGGGAGTGTTTCACCCTTAATTAGAGGTCTCGAATTCGATCCTTGGATATGAAGAAAATTCTGTTGGAAGCGTCTTCTAACCATACGAAAAATTTGAATCTCTAACTCACAAATTAATTGTTTTTGGCAAGAAAGTTTTCTAGACAAGTATCCCATACTGAAAGGATCACAAAGATACGTACTATGAACTTAGACAAGTGTTGCATTATCCCAACAAATAATTTTCTATATAAGTAAAATGAGATCATGTTAAAAAATAAAAGACAAGACCATCAAATCTTTTCATACATCTTGTCTAAATTATTTCTCTAATATAATTGAAGAAAGTTGTCCACTAGTTAAATAAGTTAAAGTAATATTGTTCAAGTACCATATAAGTTTAAGGTAAGTTTTATAGAGCTGTGATTCGATCATTTTTATTATATGATGTGGAGTACTGGTCACACACTTGAGGATCAAGACTAGAATCTCCATGGATGGACTCTGACTCTAAACGAAGGAATCTGAGCTTTATCAACATTGATAAGCTTTCTAGCTTGTGCAGGCAGCTGGTGGAACTCCTCAAAAGATCAAGAACTTTTGCATATATTCAGAAAATGCACATTGTGGAAATGAAAATGTTGAAATAGATGTGTGGGCATATCTGAGAGAAGATGGGAATTTCCCCTGTAGCGAACAAGATAAGAAAAGCAAGTCTGAGATGGTTTGGACATGTCTAAAGGAGGTGCATTAACGTCTCAGTGAGGAGGTGCAAGAGGCTGGTTGTAGGGGTAAACGGAAGGGTAGAGATAGGCAAAAAAAATATTGGGGAGAGGTAATTAGACAGAACATGGCATAATTTCATATTACCGTGGGGACATGACTCTAGATAGGAAAGAGTGGAGGTCGCGGATTAAGGTAGAAGGTTAGTAGGGGCGGAGTGTAGTCTTACGTGTGTAGCTTTAGGCTTGTTAGTGCATGTCGTAGCACTAGTCGAACTCTTGTAGTTCTTGCCATATGTTGTTTATTGTATTTCGATTATCGCACTATTACATTATTGTTATATTGTTTCTTTCTTATAGATATTTTACTGTTTTCTTATTAATAGTTATGCGCTCTTCATTGTTTTTTTCTTCTTTTGCTTAGATTTGATGCACTTGAGCCGAGGGTCTTTTGGAAACAGTCTATCTACCTCCACGACGTAGTGGTAAGGTTTACGTACACTCTACCACATTCATACCCGGCCACTTGGTGGAATTTCACTAGGTATATTATTTTTGTAAATATTATCCAAAAGTAAAAAAAAAATGATGCACAAAACATTATGTATTAGCAAGGTTTAGAAAATAATTGCACCCCTTGACCCGTGATATAGACAATCTACCCTAATGCAAGCACTATAAGTAGTTATTTCCACGGCTCAAATTTGTGAATTATGTCACACAAAAATAATTTTATCGTTGCTCCAAAGCTCTTCTTCATATTGACGAAATTAGGATACTTATACTTCTTCATCCTTCAATTATAGATAAATTTTTATTTTAATTCTTATAATATAATATTTAGCTAAACTCATTTAACCTATAATTAATTAACAAGTATATTTTTATTTTTTAAAATCAGGTATTTTCAAAAATGCAAGTTCCTTAAATAAAATGTTTGATTTGATGTTATCTTTTTCCTTAAATAAATGGAAAGAATAGCAGACAACCCAATCCAAAGGCCCAAACAGTCAGACCAGCCTATCCAATCCACATCCTGACTTTGTTCAGAAACACTGCATAAATTTCCTTTAAAATGATAACCCAGACTTGCTTACAATTGGAACTTAATCTTTTTTTTAAAAAAAAAAACACAGCTTGGTTCATTAAGCTCTTGCTATGCGCGGTGCGAAGAAGAACCGGACAACATAAATCTATTGAACAAAAACTTACCTTGCATTTTTGCAAGATGAGACCGGACCACGAGAATCTATTGTACACAGACTTACCCTATATTTCTACAAGAGCGTGTTCCCACAACTGGAGCTCATGGCTTCCTAATTATATGATAGCTTAACCAATTATGCCAAGACTCCCCTTTGATATAGTATATAATTTTTTTGACATTTATGAGCCATTTATCATGTTAAATTTGTCTATTGGACTATGTGTATACATGTACTCTAGTGTGATATTTTTTAAACTATAAGAATAATTGGAGATTTATTGTAAGATGAATATCCTTTTACCAATCCTATTTGATTCTTTTAAATAGCTTGCCAGTTGGAGCCAAGAGACATCTTCAAGTATGAACTTTTCTTTTATTACAATGATATCTGAGTCAACTTGTGCGCACCTGGACTTATTCCACTGAGTACCTGCTTCAAGTATCTGAATTTTGTCGATAAAATAGAGAGATCTACAAAACCATCGATTCTATTTTAGGACCACGAGGAGTAGCAACCGACAAGTTATCAATCAATCAACTATACCTCAATTTCAGAACAGTCAGGGAGGAGTGACAAGTTAGAAAGCACAATATTTCATTATTAAGATACTTTCTAAGATTCAGGTTTCCATGTAGTGTTCCCTGTTATCACTCAATTCTTATGTAAAATGCATCTGCAAACTAGTTACAGAAAGCTAAAACAGCCTGATCAACTGTCAATAATTGGTTATTTCTGATAAAAACCTAACATTCGTTTCCCGTTTGCTAAGAAACATAATTTATACAGTGAATATACGATAACACAGCTCCATCGCCAATAATAAGTTAAGAAGTGTACCTATGAAATGTAACCTTCTTTTCTCCCCTTCAGGAAGAGAATAATTGAACAAATTTGTAAGATTGGAAGACTGGTGTAGTAAAAACTCTACTTCTGGATAAGTTGATTGTTTTGCATCAGATGGTTGACACTCAATTTGCACCAATATGAACAGCCATGTCAAGACCAACATGTTTGTTTTCACCCGATTCAGGTATGGACTCTCCGACATGTTTGTTTCCACCCAATTCAGGTTTGGACTCTCCGGCATGTTTGTTTCCACCTGATTCAGTTTTGGACTCTCCAACATGTTTGTTTTCACCCGATTTGGCTTTGGACTCTTTGACATGTTTGTTTTCACTTGCTTCAGTTTTGGACTCTCTGATATGTTTGGTTTCACCTGATTCAGTTTTGGACTCTACGACATGTTTCTTTTCACCTGATTCAATTCTGGAATCTTCACGTATGTCTGCTGTACCGGCATCAGGTGCCACTGAAATTTGGCTTATAGCCCTAGAAGTTGGGAAATCATGGACATGCTGTCCTTCATATGTTGTAATGACTAATTTTGGATCATGGGATGCCCTCTCCACGTGCTTCTTCACAGGGCAACCAGCAACTGAGCATCTGTAGTAACTCCTACAGATGGAGAAGTTGGCATTAGAGAAAGAAAAAGCATTTCAGAGAGAGTTGAAAGCTGACAGACATGTTACAAAAATAAGAAACAAGTAATCAAAGCAACACACAGAGTGGAAACCTCACGGGGACTACAAAATATAAAAAATTCTTTCACTAGGTATGTTGTTATTGATAATGGATTGTATTAGGCATAACACATAAACATGCCCTTTAACTTGGCCTCAACTAGCATTTATGCCCTCTAACTTTGGATGTCCATAAGTAGGCACTAAAACTTGTATAAAAGTGAACAAATAGACACATTCGACCTACGTGGCGTCCTACATGGCAAATTTGTGTCCTACATGTATTATGACACATAGAACACATGTGTGTCTACTTGTTCAATTTTATACGAGATTAAGTGCCTACTTGTGCATATTCAAAGTTGAAGGGCATAGATGTCAGCTGAAGCCAAGTTAAAGGACATATTTATGTATTATGTCATTGTATCAATACACTTCTGTAGTGTTGAAGAGTCCAACATCAGATTAGATCCATTTCTTTACAAGTAGATATGGCCTAAGATCATTTCTTTAAAGTAGATAGGCTGAATGTAAGATTTTAACAACTATAGCAATTGTTTGCAAAATATGATCCATTTAGCAATCACTCATGTACTATAATCACGCTTATAGAAAACAAGCATAGTTCATACTTCACAGGAACAGAAACTATTCGACTCATGCCTGACAACTGTTGAATTCTCTTTGCACCTTATCAATCCAAACAAAGGAGTAAGGAAAAACATGGTATACATAACTGACTGCAGAAATCATAATTTGCTGGATTACAATTAGACGAGTACAAATGCGCGGAACATTTTAAATCCATCTTTCCAGACTATCAATAATTGCAAAGAAATGGAAGTGAACCAAAAAAAAAGATCTTTTTTCCACCAATAGTCTAGTTTCTAAATTTTACTATCAGTGATAACATTATACGTATCAAGAGACTACTATGTAACAGCACTGCAGCAAAATATACTGAGGATCAAAAAACAGATAGTGAGGAATTATAACACCTGATATTCAAAAGTGCTGATAAAAGGAATCTTCAGGCATGGGCATACCAAATTTGTGCATATATGTTTGAAGAATTAATTATATGTACCTCGGATTTGGATTGCCTTTGACAATTTTTTGCCCATATTTGCGCCAGCGCTGACCATCATTGATTATATCTACTTCGCTCACGGTCTGAACAATGTGCCGTGGTTCACTATGGGACTTAATAGGTGGAGTATCATCCGTAGCTACTGTGTCCTTTTTTCTGTTGCAAAACAATTACACAACTATTAATTTTAAAAGAGTATCTAGACCTGAAACATCAAAGACAAACACAGCTTGGGCTTCAACATACTGTTTTTTTGAGTCTTGACCATCACCCTTATCGACCTCATTTTCCAATTTATGTCGCTTCAAAGGCGTAACCTTCACACTATCACAAGCTGACACAATGTCCAACGCAAGCGGGGCTTCTGATGGCTTACTAGGTTCACATGTTTCTCGGGGCGTAGAAGATTTCTCACCTTCAGCTGATAAATGTCACTTACAAAATTAGTAAAGAAAGTAGGTCAAAGAAACTCATAATTTACTCAGCAATCTTGGGTACCTTCTAATGCAGTGATAATTGGAATGTCTGGTCGTTTCATTTGCAAAGGGAGTACATACTCGGGGGACATCTGGGGAACACTTAGAGTTTCCGGATGTTCATGCTTCCCAATATAGTGGATATCTGTAATATGCCCGTCATGTGATCTCTCCACTTGCTTTTTTGCTAGACAATTAGGGAATGTGCACTTGTAATAACTCCGAGTAAACTCATTTCCTTTCACAAGCTTCTGACCATATTTTCGCCAGTTATATCCATCTTCTGATGGTTTTTCAGGTGCCTTGAGGAGAGTCGTTCCTTGATCAGACATCAACCCATGGGCACTAGTGTCAGGATTCCGCCTTGGTTGCAACTTATCCAAAGCTTTCTCACGCTTTATGGTATAACTTACTCGTTGTAGATCAGACTGTGATACAAAAACCTCCATGTTCGAACTTCGCATTTGATCTGAAGAATCTGAAGCCTTACCAGATAACACGGAAACCACTTTGTCTTTTACACTAGATTCTGATCCACATGATTTTGCATCTGAGTCCTTTGGTAAACTAGAAAGTTGACTAGATCCAGATGCATCAGCCTCACTCTTAACACCCTGTTGCTTCTGCACATATTCTGGCTGGTTCTCTTGTACTCTAGAAAGAGAAATAGCTTCTTGATTGGATTGTGACACATTAATCCCTTTATCACATTGACTCAGCCTCTTCTGCAGTTCACCAGAAACAACATCGGCTTTTAACTCTAATTTTCTGGTTGCAGAGTCAGGGTCCGGCTTCTGCTCTAAATTCTCGGAGAAAACTTCATCCGTCGCCTCTTCTTTAGGGGTACCCATTACCCTGTGCAAAGACGGTCTTTGAATCATGAGTACCAAATTATACACACTTTTGGCAAGGAAATAAAGTACAAGTATATGGGCTTACAAATTCATATTCCAGTTATCATGCTGTGCATTTTTTTAAAAAAAAAGTAATTAGCAGGAATATAGAATCTGTGATTTAACAGTTCAACAGTTATTGAATTTGGATCTATTTGAACATGAAGAATAAATAGTTCCAAGGACCTGAGAACAGAAAAACATAGAAGTTCATGGGAAAGGAAGCATTCTGTTGACAGTACTGACCGACAAGTTGCTCAGACTTGGGTGCGGATACCCAACATGGATGCGGATCTGAGGGTAGGATTCGGCAACATCTAAATTTTAATATACGGGGGTACAGATCCAGGTTTGGATACTCGTACTAGGATTCGGTTAAAAAAATTCAAAATTATAAAAGTGGAGCTATAAAGACATTCTAATGTTTGAGAGATAATTCTCTGGAAAACTTATATGTTGTAGAATTCAATCTCCAAGATTCGCATTAAAAAAACATATTTTAATACTCAAAAAATCAACATGCTAATAATTAATTTAGAAATTATTCCTCTTTTTTATGAAAAAGAAACATCTATAAAGAGCAAACATTGACCAAGAGGAAAGCTTAAAAAAAAAGATTGAAGGTATGCCATTTCTCACGTCTTAAATCTGTTTTATCTTTTATTTTGAGAAATCAAAATCTCAATTTTCCCCCAAAATTTGTCCTATCCTAAGTGGGTTAACCGAATCCCGTATCCGCATCCGTGTTGTGTCGACACGGGTTCGGCAGCAAAAATGAAGAGTCTGCAAAACTGGGAAGTAAACTACTGAAAAGGAAAGAAGAGAAAGCTACCTTTATTTTGCAATCTACAAACTACACATGTTTCATTATCTGAACTTTTCTTCTAGTATATTTCTCATTACTGGAGAAAATACCTTACTTAAGCGCAATGACAATGCATATCTGAATTTCTTTAATCATTACAACCACGAATGCTGTAAACGATGCCCTAAACTTTCCTTTCTCTACACATTTCTTCACCTAGAAAGGAGGAATACAATTGGAAAAATAGTTAACATGTCATGCAAAATAGTAGTTTCTTTCTCGCTCTCTTTTCACAAGTCCAAAGCGATTTTTGTATTATATCTTAGCTAGGATTTATGTATAGAAAGGAACAGCAGTAATAATTTACAACTGCTTTCTGGTGATAGTACTGACATTTGTAGACGTACAATTCATGATATTGTCGAATATTTCCCATCGCTGTATACAAACCAAAACAGTGGTCAATTCTAGATCAATGAATGTGAAGAGCTGAACTATTCCCACTTGATAAGTGAAGCCACGAGGAAGTGCAAAAGAGAGAAAAGAAAAGAAAACGGATAAAATAGGGTGGTATGACCATCTAAGCTGTTGTTGTGCAGTTGGAACTTACTATATAAGTAGGTATCCTAAAGGTTATAGAAAGTCGATACAGAACGCCATTTTCAGAAGTTATAACCATGAAAAATTGTGTTATTATATGACGTGACATGACATGTCAGAAATGGGATAGGTGTCATTGACAAGATAACTTAACTCTACGCTGCTTCTTTTGGAAATGACGAGAAAAAGGACTTGGAAATCTAGAAATTTTCCTATATGGCGCCATGAACACGGCGAACCAATCAAATTTCATGATCACGCGAGGCAACATGGACTCTAAAGCAAATTTTGGGACACCTTGTCAGAATTCCTCTTTAGCAATGACTACATACGTTTTTATGAAGAAAAACTGGGATTTCACCACAAAAACCTTATGTTCAACACCTTCCTGCTACAGTCTTACCAACAACTCAAAAGTGTAAAAATCAATCAGAAGGGTGAAATATTAGCACCATAAACATAGCAAATTTAAAAGCAGAAAGCGACATCACGTACTCATTAAAGCACAAGTCTTTAATTAGCATAAGCTCTAGAACATAATGAAATTCCACAACACTCCAAAAAACGTTAGAAGTCCAGAAACAGTAGCATAAGAATCGAAAATCAAACTGAACTACGAAAAAAACCATCAACTCAAAACCCCAAATTCACAAAATAATAATCCCTAGAATGTAACGAAATTCTACAACACTCGAGAAACCATTAGAAACCCAAAAACAGTAGCACACAGAAAACAAAAGAATTGAAAGCCAAACTGGACAAAAACCAATCAGGAATCTTATCAGCTCAATTGGTTGGCTACCTAAACTTTCCCCTTGTTGATGAAAGTTTGATTCCTCACCTTGTAACCCCCTCCCCCGTTTCCGTTTCCGTTTCCGTTTCCCTTTCCCCTTCCCCTACCTCCAAAAAAAAAAACCTAGACAAAAACCCATCAATTCAACTCTCCAAATTCACAAGATGATAATCCCTAGAACGTAACGAAATTCTACAACACTCTAGAAAACATTAGAAACCCCAGATACAGTAACACAAAAAGCAAAGAATCGAAAGCCATACTGAATAAAACCCCAAATTCACAATATAATTAGCTCTAGAACATATCTCAATTCTACAAAACTCTAAAAAGAAACATAAGAAACCCAGAAACAGCAAACAAAAACAAAGCAAAAGAATTAATTTTTCGTAAAACCCATCAATTCTAAACCCCAAATTCACAACATAATTAGCTCTACAACATATCACAATTCTACAAAACTCTAAAAAAAAACATCAGAAACAGCAGTACAAAAACAAAGCAAAAGAATCATTTTTTCATAAAACCCATCAATTCAAAAAACCCAAATTCACAATTTAATTAGCTCTACAACACATCACAATTCTACAAAACTCAAAAAAAAAAACCATCAGAAACCCAGAAACAGCAGTTCAAAAACAAAGCAAAAGAATCAATTTTTCATAAAACCCATCAATTCAAAACCCCATAATCACAACAAAAAATAAGCTCTACAACACAACAACATTCTACAACACTCAATAAATCATCAGACAAAAAAAAAACTGAAAAATCACAAAATAATTAATAATCCGTACCTTCTTCTTCTTCCTGCTTAATTTTGCCCCAATTTTCACCTGGGGTTTCTTGATTCTTTCTTATCAACCAACAGAGAAACTCAAAAAAGGGTAGCTGTTCATTGACTTGGACCAAGTACTACTACTACCTACACAGCTAACCAAAAATCAAAAACCAAAAAAAAAAAAAAAACTACTAATACAAAAGTATTAGTACTAGTAATCAAGAATCTAAATTTACTTGTTCAACTTTTGAATTAGAGTGAACTCAGCCGTTGGATTTGCTTAACAAACTTTTTTGAAGGGGCCATTGAAATTGGTAAAGATTGCTTTTTTATGATTTATGTGAAAGGGGAACTATTATTTCCTAAATGGTTTTTCCTACTAAGGACACGTGTTGGATGAATAGAAATAAATTCAATTGAAATAATTCAAAAAAAAAAAAAAAAAAAAAACTACTAATACAAAAGTATTAGTACTAGTAATCAAGAATCTAAATTTACTTGTTCAACTTTTGAATTAGAGTGAACTCAGCCGTTGGATTTGCTTAACAAACTTTTTTGAAGGGGCCATTGAAATTGGTAAAGATTGCTTTTTTATGATTTATGTGAAAGGGGAACTATTATTTCCTAAATGGTTTTTCCTACTAAGGACACGTGTTGGATGGTGATTGGTATAAATTATAGTCAAAAATATTTTTTTATAAAATTGGTTTTTGACTTTTTCCTTTATTACTATTTCATTTTTGACTTCTTCTCTATTTTACATTAATGGTGTTTTAATGTATATTGGTTGTAGTCAACTTTAATTATGTTGGGATTATAACATAGTTATTATTATTTTACTTGTTTATACGTCTCTTAAGGAATTATGTGTTTTGAGTATCACATTCTTAGTTATTTAGGAGTCGTTTGTTAGCTGGTTAGATTTATGTTGATATTCGTAATGTATGGATTAGTTATAAGGGAATTTATGTAGTATTTTCTGCAGAGTTTAGTTATCATGTACTATTAGTTATTCCATCTTATCTTAAAGGTAAAATAATACTTAAATTCTCTCATAACTTAGAGTATATGTTTGTTTATGCGAATCTCCAAATTGCAAATCTAATATCGTATTGTTTTTATGTATGAATAGATTTCTTTCTAACCAGCTATTAAAGGTAACATTACTTATGGGCGATTTGATATTTGCATAACACGCCTCCTATCCAAATCAGCAACCAAATGATCGATTAGAATGTTAATATTTAGTAAATTTATTCTCTCAATAAATAACTATTTATGCGTCTTACTTATCGATTACATAGTTAGTTAAGATCTAAAGCAATTAATTGTAGTCATAGTAACAACGAAAGTGAAAGCAATCGCGATATTGAAGTATGTGTATGTAATTTCACTTAAAGTTTTCTATGATAATTAAGTGATCTCAAAAACACCTTTTAAACAATGAAACATCTATTTATAAGAACAAAGCGAACATTTTAGCTTAAATATTGTAATTACCTTATACAAAACTTTTTGATTCATCATGCTATCGTCCTTAATTTACATATAACTATATAGATCTTAGTTAAAAAAAAATTGATTTAGACGCACATGGTATAGATATTTCATTAAAATCTTGCACCAAAATGGTGTTGGTTAAACTATACTAGTGTAGGGAAATGAAAAAGTCATATTCCATTAGCTCCTAGGTAGTTCGGATTCTCTAAAAGATGTTGTCAGATCCTTCAAAAATGCAATATCCTCGGAGGATCTAACATGCACCTAACAAAATATCCTTTGGCAAATGGCCTGAAAACTGTTTTGCACCCATTGCCAGCCTAACCAAGTTATCCAGATATGCAATTTCTCTAGGAATGGAACCAGAAAGTTTGTTGTCGCGGAGATTCAATGTTTGCAAGTTTCTCAACGGTTAGCATAAAGGTATAGACGTTTGGGCTAAGCTAATTCATCTATAGTTATTGGAATCAGACCAGAAAGATTGTTTGTGTGGAAGCTTCAATGCTCGAATGACTTCATAAGAATAGAACAATTTTGCACTAAGCAAGTAACCTATTTTCGCGAGGGATATGGCCTGTTAACTGGTTTTTCTTAAGACAAGCTTCAACAAGATTGGCGAGTTTTCCTGTTTCTACATGAATGGAACCATATAAGTGGTTGTCCGAGATGCAGAGGGTCTTGAGCTTAGTTAGTGAGCCAATTTGTGGTGAGAGTGTGCCTGAAATCTGGTTAGTCGACAAGTGAAGATAGACAAGAATAGTGAGTTTGCTTCATAAGTTGCAACAGACTAAATGAAACACTGAATGGCGTTTTATATTGTACAGAACAAATAACATCTTAACATTGATAATTGAAACAAACTGAACACATGGAAATATATATATATATATATGTATACACACACACAAGCCAGAAGTGTTACTAAGCAACTAGTGGTTTCTCTATAACTAATTCAACCTGCATTTGATGAGATTCGAGGACCTTTTTCACGGATACCATGATGGACTTTCCATTGACATAGTGTTGTCGACAGACAGGCATGTACATATTAGCACCACCTATAAGCTCCTTCTGCATTTCATCGGTTTTTCTCAAGGTAAAAAATGCGCATTTGCCACATAATTCACATCTTGCTGTTAACTTTGTAACTGTATCTGCAATTGGAATAATATCAAGGACTGAGCCAAATTTCCTCCTGTAACAAGCAAGCGCGAATTGCCATTAGAATAGTATTTGTGCTAATTATGACACTCCAAATATAATGATGGAAATAAATGAGTGGTTAAATTCAACAAATACCTCAAGTAATCACCGTCTAGGCCAGCAACAATTACAATCTTCCCATCAATATCAGCAGCATTGCAGCAGAAATCATAAAGGTCTTCGAAAAACTGAGCTTCATCAATGCCAATCACATCAACCTGCAAACGAATAGATTCAATGAGGAACAAAATCATAGCGAACCAGAAATGGAGTGCAAAACAATGAAAAGCAAGAATTACATCTACGTTATTAGTATCTTCATCGTAAGCTAGACAAGGTTGTTCTTTCATAACGTCAATAGATCTGATCCAAGAGATTCGCCTTGTCTATAAGCTCAACTCTTCCCCTTCCCACTGGATTTTTTTGTTTATGGCAAATCCTGACACTTGGTGACTCAAATGCATGACTTTACGGTTATAGGTGGAGAGTCCTCGCTACTAGGTTAAAGGACAAACAAACTACGAATAAAAGACTCGACATATCTAATATAAACCTTTAGTTTCTCCCCATCACATAAAAGAGTGAAAGGAAGAAAACCCCATACTCCAAGAATTTAATTTCTAAGTGATGTAAGAAAGTAGACCCTTTCTTTTTTACATCATGGATTTTCCAAATTGATCGACATGGTTGCAACCACAAAAGAATCTGATTACTCATACTCAGTCAAATACATTTTCAAGACTTAAAACGGAAAATAACACAAAGGGAGCCTTGGAACAATGCAAGTTACTATAATTCATCCTTGCTTACGTATTACATACACTTTTCACAAATTTTATGAATGGAAAGTTGTCTACAAGTTCGAGCTGTGAAATCTTGCATCAGGGTAGGTTGCCTACATTACACCCCCTTTAGAGTGCATGCCTTCCTCATAACCTATGTAAACGCAAGATGCTTTGTGCACCGGATTGCCTTAAATTGAAAATAACACACTAGATCTTCTAGGAACACGAGTCTAGAATATCAAGAATAGGTACTAAGTTTTAGTTCTTGATGTAGAGGTCAAGGAATAGAGTAGAACATTAGTAGGTAGTTAAGTGTTATCGAGTCCCTTTATCAGTAACACTATTATTACTCTCCTACTATCATATTTTTCAATTTTAGTATTACATGTTATTTTCATTGTTTCAGTTATCGTATTATTTGCTTTTGCTACTTCTTTTTTTTCTTAATTGTTTCCGGCTTTACTTCTTTGATACGGCATTTGCTTTACATACAGGTAAAGCACAAGGAGAGAAGAAAAGGACTGCACCTTTTCATATGCATTTGGACCAAATCTATGTTTGAAAGATGATAGATCAGGCAATGACCAACATGGAAATTTCGTCCCATCGTGTGTCACCACTGCATCTACTGCATACCTCGTATCTTTGTTTGACTTGATCATCACCACATTTCTAGTTGAAGAATCCAAGTTATATCACAAAAACAAGTATGGAAAGCAATCACCCAAATTTAACATAGAAACTACTTCAATTTTTAACAGATCAACGTTCAAAACGTCAAACGTCTACAACAATATCAATTGTCCTATAGAGATTGACACATTAAAATCTTAACATTCCACAATAGTAATACTACAACATAAAATTGGAACATAAAGAGCAAAAAGTTTCCTTTTTTTAAAAAAAAAAGGTATATACACTTAAACAGAATCAAACAGCTTAAAACTACTACTAGTACTATTACAACACTCCAATTCTAAACAAGTAACTGAAACCAGCTTTATGAACATTCACACCATGGTTGTTGACTTGTTGTGTGACCGAGTTCATCTGAACCCAATATTTTCTAACCAAATCATATATCTATATGTAAAAATATACTAAATTGCAACAAATAATAGCTCTAATCCCACAATTTTTTTAAAAATATAATAGGTTCAATAGTTGAAATCTTAAACATTGAAATCATAGAGCTTAAATCCTGAATCCACCGCTAGCCTCACTAACACACCGACCCAAGTTACTCCATCTAAACTCATCCCATAAAGAATGGATCTTTTTTATATTTAAAATCACGAGATCCAAAAGTCTATCATTGTTTCTTAAACTACGTATCCAATCAAACTACCGTACTTAAATTGGAACAAAGAGAATATCTTCTAAAGCGTATAAAAAATTGGTACCTGCCCAGTTTGGATTCAGAATTGACGCGGCGAAGAAGAGCAGTAGTTTTACCGGCAAACATAGGGCCAAAAATTACATGGATTTCGCCGGAAAGAAGATGATTATGACCTCTTTGATCTGATCCATTGGATACAGAAACTGTGTTTTTCAGGGATGAAGAACAAAACGACATGGCGAATATTGGTTAACAAAAAATAAAGCTGAGATTGTAGATTTGTGAAAGATGAAGATGAAGAATGAATTTCAAGTTTTATATATAAAAGGGGTTTGGTTTTGAATTTTGAATTTTGAATTTTTGGGAGGAAAGAGTCAAAAGGCATATGAATTTTTGTTTTTTTTTCTAATTTGGAGGGAAAATTGATAAATATTCGACTTTTTCGATGGGGTCGTTTGGTTGGAGGGATTAGGTGATATATTTGGGAAAAGAATTTGAGATTAAATTTATCTCATATTTGATGGAAAGTATTACTTAGTTAGCACTTAGGGCTTCTTTACTTAGGAAATAAGTTATTTCAGGATTAATCATTCCGAATTATTTATCTCATGATTGTTATCCACTTTCAATACAACTACAACATACCTAGTGAAATCTCACTAAGTGCATGGAATATGGGGAGGATGGTGTGTACGAAGACCTTACCATTACCTTGTAAAGGTAAATATGTTGTTTATGAAAGACCCTCAACTCAATTGCATCAACTCAAGTGACAGAAGAAGAAAATATAGCAGTTAATAAGAAGAACATTGTCATCCACTTTTAATGTGGGATAAAGATAAACACTATAATCCTAGAAATTTTGGGATAAGTTATTATGTGATTTTATCCAAACCAAACATGTGATAAGCTCATCCCAAATTAAATTCATAATCAGTTGTTGGAAAATATATATCAATGACACAATTTATATGAAGAAGAACACTAAGATGAAAGATTGATAATATGAATAAAGAACACAAAATTGAAGGCTTGAAACATGTGTAAGACACTTTCCTAAAACGATATTTGCTTTCTTTCCTCCACGAGATTACTATGGGATTATATGCAAATATTTTTAGTGGATATGACGAACCTATAAATTTTTACACTAAGCAAATAATGAAATAATCCTATTAGAAAGCAAGAACTTGAAGACTTGATCCTTTGGAGAAGAAAAGATTTATGTTGAGAATCTTGTAAAGAGATGTATTCTCTAAAAAAGTTATTTGTGAATCTCCAGTAGTTGGATTTGAATAAAATTTGTGGTAACCATAGAATGAAAAAACACGTCCTTTCATTTAAAAGACACCAACTTAAAAAAATGAAAAGAGACACTCTTTCATTCAAAAGACACCTCTTTGTTGAAGAAAAAACTTATATTAATAATTTAATTTAAACAAAATTCCAACATTAGTTATTCCTGATCTGTCATACCGAATGAGCCGTTAGTATTTCACATAAGATCTTATTTTCCAATCTTTATTAGTATTTCTATTGTTTTATTTGTTAGGTACTTCTTGTTAGTTTGTTATTATTTTTTCTTCATTCGTGCTTTGATTACTCCTTTTTTGAGTTGAGGATTTATCAAACAATCTTTACACACCACAAAAATAAAGTTAAGGTCTGAATATATTCTATTCTCTCCAAAACTATTTTGTGTGTTTAAATTAGGTATGTTATAGTTATTACATTTAATCAAAGGTATTTGCTAGAATTGATAGTAAATTCAAAATTATAATCTTCATAACTTATTTCATACCGAAGAAGCCATTTTAATTGTGGTTTCATGGTTATAATTATGTTATCTCCTAGTTTCAAACCAAATGATCCCTAAGGATAGTTTGGTGGATGACATTGGAATAATTAGTCATAAAATTATGAATAAAAAGAAACTATGATATATTAATTAATTAATATTTTATCTAAATTTTGTATTTACTATTTGTTTTATTAAAGACAAGTCATGTATATTCATATGTTGATAAAATGAATAACTTCAATCATTTGACATTCAAATCTAAATGTAATATTCTAATATTTAAATTTAAATGTGTATTTCTTGTATATTTGTAATGAAAAGCCGCAAAGGTTGTTTCACTAGGTCAAGGAATTTTATCTTGACTTTATTGGTCCCAATGACATATTTGATTAATATTTAATAAAATTTTGTGATTGAAAATTATTACTTATACTTAAAATGCTATTTCAATAAGTTTTTCTACTTCTTTTTTTTTTGTAATTTTAATTGAGTCATTTTTATTCTTCTATGTGTATTATTATTTGTTGGGTTATTTATTTTGTATCTTGCTAATTAGGTGTCATTTTTTTTTCTCACCATCCTATTTTGATAACTTTTCTTTTGAGTTGAGGTTCTATCGAAAAACAATCCTTCTATCCTACAAAGATAAAATTTGTATACTCGTGCCCTCTTCAAATTCACTTATGGAATTACACTACATTATTGTTATTGTTGTTCTTCTTTTTTATTTAACCATCTAGTTTTAGACGTCTAATCATCCACATTTCTTTATGACATAATGCACAAGCATGTTCTCTAACTTGACTTCAACTGACATCTACGTCCCCTAACTTTGGGTATGCACAAGTAGAAACTTAAACTTGTATAAAATTGAACAAATAGACACATTTGTCTTACGTGGCTTCCTGCATGACAATTTTGTGTCATATGTGGCATCCTTCATGTATTATGTCATGTAGAACGTATGTGTCTACTTGTTCAATTTTATACAAATTTAAGTGTCTACATCTTAAGTTTTAAGACATAGATGTCAGCCAAAACCAAGTTAAACGTCATATTTATATATTATGTTTTTCTTTAGCAAAAATAAAAAAAACAAAGATATCCCATTGGTAAGAAAATCGTCTGCAGCATATGTTAACATCAAATCAATGATTGCATGACATATATTTGAATATAAACAATTATCACTTAATTTTGGTCAATTAATGTATATTTTTGTTCATCAAATTAATAAATTACAATAAATTAAATTAATTCGATATAAACATCTTATACAAATACGTATTTACCATAGTCCATAATTCATCCATCCATCTACCTTTCTTGATGGTCAAGTAACTAATTTCAAATTGAGGTTGAAATAATACACACAAAATTTCAATTATAAATTATTTGCAAATTGAACTTAGCTCAAAGTTTTTATTACAATAAAAATAATAATATTTTTTTCCCTTTATTAGATTTGGGTCATTTTTCTTTTTGGTCCACAATGAAAAGTTTTTTTTATTATTCACAACCCCTTCATCAATCAAAACATCACAAACCAAAACCAAGAAAAACTTCAAAACTCAAAACAAATTCTCTTCTCTCATTTTCCTTCTACATTACATCAAATTTTCTCACAAAAAGTATATATACAAGGAAGGAGATTGGAGGACAAGCAAAACCAAATCCTTTAGATCAAATCACATCAAAATTTTCTCTCTCATTACCACATATATTCTCCTTTCTTCTTGTTCTTAGCAAAAAAAAGATTGAAAAAAATTAAACTAAAAAAAGAAAAAAATTTAATTTAATCATCAAAATCAAAACTTTTTAAAAGGGTTGAATCAATCTGTTATTGTTATCATAGTGTGTACAAAATCTTGAAGAAAAAAAATAAAATCTTGAAAAAAGAACAGTGGGAACAGAAAAGTAAAGAGGGCTAATATAGAGGAGGAAGAACATCGCCCTCGGTTCTAGTTACTGTGCCTCCTCTGTAGATCTTGATTTGGGTGATTTATCATATGGGTATTGTTGAAAATATAGATTCTTGATTTGGGTATTTGTTAATTATTTTTTTTATGAAAAAAGTTTTGATGAAATCATTTTTCATTGTTGGATTGTTTTGATCCGTTTAGTTTGATTGAATCTGATAATTATTGGATCAGTTACAGATTGTTGTGTGTCTCTGAAGCTCTTCATTGTACTTCACAGTAAAAAGGTATGTTCTTTACTGTTTTGGCTGTTGTTTCCTTAATCTGTATATCATTTTTGTTAAGTAATGGATGTGGAATTTAATGTTGTATTTTGGATTTACTTTGAGGTGTCTCATTTTCTGCAAAATGGGTTTGTTCTTATGATGATGTAGTAAGAATGCTTTGTCATTTCTTTTTTTTTTTTGAGCTGAGGTCCTTCTGAGGTAGGGGTAAGGTGTGCGTGCACACTAACCTCCACAGACCCGACTGGTGGTTATGTTGTTGTTGTTGGGTTGTTCTATGAACAAATGGTATTTGGTTTTAAAATCTTTAATTTTTTTTTGGGCTTGAAGTTGCATAATGTTGAATGGAAAGTTTGGAACTGAGTATTTCATGACTATTGATTTTGGTATTGTAGGAAAATGCAAGTTGATCTTGGTAAGTTATTCGTTGGTGGGATTTCATGGGACACAGACGATGAGCGTCTAAAAGAGTATTTTAGTACTTATGGGGAGGTTGTAGAAGCTGTAATTATGAAGGATAGGACTACTGGCCGTGCTCGTGGTTTCGGTTTTGTGGTCTTTGCTGATCCTGCTGCTGCTGAGAGGGTAGTTAAGGAGAAACACAACATTGATGGCAGGATGGTAAGATCTTTAAGTTTGCTAAATTCTTCACAATTTGGTTTTATTTTATTAGAACACAGCTTAGCATGACAGTGTTATGAAGATATAACCAAAATGATGTAATATTTAACCAAATGCTCTGGGCCTTCATGGTATCGTTGATGTTCTCAAGCAATGCTGATTGTTAATCTTACTTTTATAGCATTTTGTCATCAAACTTTTCTGGTCTTCTACTTTGATCTGAGCTTTGAGTGCCTGAAGTTCACAACTTTAGATCTATAGTTACTTCATTTACCAGAGATTTCTTACAATCCTCATTTTACAGGTAGAAGCAAAGAGGGCAGTTCCACGGGATGACCAGAGCACGACAAGTAGAAGCAGTCCTAGTATTCATGGTTCTCCTAGTCCTGGTCCAGGACGTACGAGAAAGATTTTCGTTGGTGGTTTAGCATCCACTGTCACTGAGACTGCCTTTAAGCAGTATTTTGAGCAATTTGGAACAATCACAGATGCAGTAGTTATGTATGATCATAACACTCAAAGGCCTAGAGGATTTGGATTCATCACTTATGATTCAGAGGATGCAGTGGATAAAGTCTTGCTCAAGTCTTACCATGAGCTGAATGATAAAATGGTTGAGGTCAAGCGCGCTGTCCCCAAAGAGTTATCCCCAGGTCCTAGCCAAAGCCCACTTG